ATCATGGGTTTATTAAGAGATATTCTACTATTCTAGAATATATCCTCAGAAGTCATTTTTCTTCTCTGTATCTCTTTAAAATTTTCCATTTAATTTTATAATTTTAAAAGGGAAAAACTGTACATGAAGCTCTTATAAAGGCCTGACTTTCATCTCAGAGTAAAAGGATAACTTCCCTGTCATTGCAGGTTATAATCTAGTAATATATTCCAATATCACGTTTGTGTTTAAAAATTTGAGAACCAAACATACACAATGGAAATAAATTATATGTGGAAATCATCTTAATACCTTTTATGGCCTCTAATCATTCTCCCTTGTGATTACAGCCCTATAAACGTAGACAGGTAAGTAGGTAATGAGTGTCATAAGCTTTTTTTTTTGAGCTAAACAGAAGTTCAGAAGCTATAGTTAATTGCCAATGTTAAGAAAGCTAAAAACAAAAGAACTGGCATGAGACTCACAGTCAAGTACCTTTCCTTTCCCTCACATCACCCAAACAGAGAAATCTAGATTTTTTTTGCAGCAAAAGGGATCTAAAATAGTATATGCACTTATTTCAAGTTTCCATTAAACTAGTCATCAAAGGCTGAAATATTGCTGAAAAATACTAAACAGAAGCATAGCTGTAGCCTATCCTAATAGGTATATTATACCTATATATTTTCAATCATATTATTGCTTAATATTAGTTTATAAATTAGCCTACCTGATATCAGCCATTATTAAGAATACGAGCTGGTTAGAATATTTAGATGTTTTGAATAGACATCTTAATAATTTTGTAAAGGTTAAAATATTAGTTTCACAGGAAAGATTTAAAGTATAATTTCATTTGTGCTCAGCTTGCTAAAGATTTTCCTTCTGACTTGAGTGAGATATTTGCTTAAATAGTTTAATAGTTCCTAGGTAACATGAAGAGGCAGCTGAAAGCAGTTTGACTTCTTGTAACTATGCTCACTCTCTGAACCAAAAATAAAACAAAAGAGCTTTGACTCTTGAATTAAAACCTGCTGGCTTAATGAGGAACAAAATCACACAATCATCCAAATAGATACCCTATATGGAAATAAATACTCATAATTGTGACACTTGTTTGCAAAACAAAACATTAGCTAGTCTCTCAATATTTAAGCTTTACAATGAACAACCTCTAGTTCCCCCAATGATTCCATGGTCTCTTGTCTCTCTTTTTACATGTTGTGCCTGTAACAGAAAATTCTTATATCATGTCCCTCCTGGCTGACTCCTACTCATACTTTAAGTCTCAGTTTAAAAATCACTTCTTTCAAAAGTGCAAATATGTGTTGGATGTGTGCTGCAGAGTACTTTTAACTCATCCGTATCACCACATTACCTCAACATATTTTAATTACTCATTCAGTTATCTGCCTTTCCCCCAGACTATCTTCTTCATGTTGTCCAGCTTGGGTGCCTGGCACATAGAAAGTGCTTTAATTGAATTACTTTTATTTTAAGGCTGCCTCCACATAAACCTGGAGGATGTCAAATAAAACTCTTTGACCAAAACCTTTTGAAATGAGGCAAAAGAGAGAAGGTAACCATCCAGGTTAGATAAATAAATATAGCAAATGGCCATCCACCTAAAAATGTACTTAATCCAGATACCTCATCTCTATGACATCAAATTTTATCATATTTATAAACACTATTTCTTAATAGTCATTATTTTCATTTATAAAGAAAGTTTTCTAGTTATATTCATCATATTAAGTAATCCAGTTTATTATATATGTATTAAGATGTTGGGAAAAAAGACAATAGAAGGAGAAAGACAAGCCAAAGTAGTTTAACTACTAATCTGAATAAATTTTTAATTTTTACAAGGGAACAAATAGCAAAGAGTTTAATTTTAATGGGGTTCTCTATCACTAAAATAATCTATTCAACGATATTTAATATGCTTGAACAGCATTTTGGAAGCTAGTCATCATATATAGCCTAAAAGTCAATATACTTAACAAAATCAATTATTAAAAGATACTTTAAACCATTAAACATGGAGATAAGACTCCCATTCAGTATTATCACAAGGAATCTTTGTGGAAGAATCAGGCATACTATATGTAGTTTAATTCAGGTTTAGCAAACATCTTGTGATATAGAAAAACAAAATGATCATTTTATCAGCAACTTTAGAACACACAACTATTAGGAACAGATCTATAGGTGATGGGAAAGATTGGGATTATTTTTTACTGGAAAGATAGTCTTTAATATTTTCCTTCACTTAACCAAGTTACTTATTATAAAGAATATGTAATAAGTACACATATACAAACAAAATGATGCTGGAGAAAAATAGCAGTCAACGTACAACAAGATATGATGTAGCTACTGAAATAATCAGATGTACATACTAATTCCTATAATGGTGATACATCTGAACAGGAATCACTAAATTCTACCTGCAGGCACATCATGCCAAGTATGTATGAACAATTATAATTTTATGGCAGTGGTGCTAAGGGAAATATCTCAGGATTATTTTTACAAGTCAGAACAATAATAGGCATAGGCAATTTATGGGGATTAATGTCAAGGAGCTTATTAGAATTCACTCTGTTTCCTCTAGTTCTTGGAAACAAATTCATTAGTTTCTCTAAAAGATACATATATAGACAATGTATATAACAGAAACAGAAATCGATGGCAACCATACTTTTCATAAAAACAAAGATATTCTAAGCTCAAACATAAGTCTCTTCTTTTGGATACAAGACTAGTATCTAAAGTATTAAAATTATTTTATTTACTTCCTAGATATTCTAGATAGTTTTTGTGCCTCTAGTCATTATTCTGCTAGGTAAGGTGTCTGGCATGAGTTTAACGGGAAGGACTTAGATTGGAGGTAGGTAGAAGTGAATGTGCTAACCAGAGTTCTGGCATTTATAGACTTTAGGACCCTGGATAAATCATTTAGCTTTCACTAAGCCTTTGATTCCAGATGAGAATAGGAAGGATGATTTCTAGATTCTGCTAGTTATAACATTAAGAAATACTAAATTTTTAAAATTCAAGCCATTTTTTTTTTTTTTCTTTTTTTGAAGCCAGGTTTGCTAAGATCAAGCCACTTTTGATCTTCATATCCTGTGGCTGCCACTACAGATTACAAAATATACAAGGAAGGATTAAAAATCAAGCAAACCAAATAATTACATGTAGCATATAGGCAGGGAAAAACTAAATCTGGTAAGTCTAGTGAGGCCAACTTTTCACTTTTCTATTAACTATCAGCCAAAAAGTTGTCTTTCCCTAGAACCAGTTAAACACAGAAAACTTTTCTACTCTGTCTATACATTTGCACTATCAAACAAGTTTAAACTGAACTAAGCCCATGAAATAAAAAAAAGTTAGCCATAATGAGCCTAGATAAATTGCTTTCCCTGACTGACAAATCTAGTATCTTTCTAACCTTTATACTTAATCTGTTGGCACTAGTTGAAAACTACAAAACCGGATCAGTGGAAGATGTAATCTTAAAACTAAAGCTCTGCTGGATTCTAGATTAAGAGGTTCACTTTAAAATATGAAGTAACAAAAAAAAATGTTGATATATAAAAGACGGCTTCTAAATCATCCTATGGAAGATAAAAATCATATCACAAGATAGTACTTTTAATCCATACAGGACCTTTTACAGAGCAACCTAAAGTATTTTATAGAAACTACCCGATTAAGTTTCATGACAATTCTGTGAAATCAGGTATTACCTAATTTTTTCTAAAGAAGGCAAAAGAAATGTAGAACTAAAGTGACTCACTTTGCCAGTGACAAAGCTTCCTATTTCACATCTAATGCTGTAAATTGTAGGGAAAAGGTGCTTAGCACCAAGATAAATGATATTAACTTAAATGCCTCAGCTTTTTGAAAAATGTTTGACTTCCCACAAGATATGAGTGCAGAAGTAATGTATTGTCTTGCTTGGCATTTATCCTAATCACTTAATTCAGTATCTGTCACACTGAAGGCACTCATTATATATTTGCTCAATGAATAAAGGCTATGGACAGAAGCTAACAGTTACCAGAGCTCATATATCAGGTACTGTTCTAAGTGTATTACATATATTATTTCATTTAATCCTACCAACAATTGAATAAGGTAAGTTACTACTCCGCATTTTACTAATAAGGAAACTAAGGCCCAGGTTAAGTAACTTGCTCATGATTGCAAAATGATAAAGCCAGGATTTTAAAAAAGAAGTAGCTCAACTATAGATCTTGTTTAAAGTTCACGATTGTAGAAAGAAGAGAACTAGGTTAGCAGTAAGAAACTATCTGTATTCTCATCCCTCTGTCACCACTTCCTTGGAGAGAAGGGAAATTTCTTACTGATGTTTCTATCTCTTTATAATGCCTAGCATAGTACCTTAGTCACATTACTCTTTATCAAATGTTTCCTGAATAAAGTTAAAATCACATAAACAAATTAGGCTTCATTGTTCTCAACTGTAAACTGGAGATAAAGTTACCAGCAAAGTCTATCTTAGTGGCACTCAACATATGGTCTCTAAACCTGAAAATTTTGTCAGAGATGAAAATTCTCAGGCTCCACCCCAGAACTTCTGACTCAGAAACTGGTGCTTTAACAAGAATTTCAGGTGATACTCATGTATTCTAACGTTTGAGAACCACTGGTCTACTTTATATGATAATTACAAGGATCAAATGAGTTCAATAGTGTAAAAGCACCCTAAAAAGTGAAAGGTATATCATCATCATTATTATGAAAAGATTAAATTATGATCCTTGAAAAAACATTTTTCTAAATCCACATATGAATATCAGAAATGAAATAGATCATAAAACATTTTTAAATAAAATATTGTTCTTCCAGATTTTATCTGGATAATGTATAGCAATAATGGATCCAAAGGAAAAGATGACTATGATCTGTAATGTCATACCTAGAAATCCAATAATTTGGTCATGCAGTGGTTCAACCCAGAGACCTGACATGCTGCATAGGCTCCTTACCTGACCAGTGTCCAGTGGAGATGCCAGATCTGTCTGTGCATGTCTCACTTACAGGTCTAAACACAGTCTCCCATCCACCAGTGGCATAGCGCCAATTCTGAGATTCCAAGATAAGTGTTCGCTGAGTGCCATACGCAATCATGAAGCAGTAGACTACATGATGGAGTTGACAGCCATAGCCACAACCTTTGTTGATATTACACACCAGCTTCTTGGCTTTGCTGCAGTCCTTGGGATTCTGTCAGAGAGAAAGAGAAACAAAGTGAAAATAAGTTGCACAGAGAGGACAACTTCTCTTTATAGGTGACAAGTATAGAAAATCATATATAATAGGCCAGAATGATCCAATAGATTTCTTATTAAGCAAACAATCTAGCTTTAAGGATTGGATTTCAAAGAAAGAATCCACTGAAAATTATATGAACATATTTAGGAAGATGGCAGTGAAAAAAAAGAACATTTACTTGGAAATATCAGTAAACAAATGTGAAATTAAGCAGTTGCATTAAAAAAATTCTTTTACTTCTCCACAATTCAGAACATGCAAGTGTAATTATCTCTGAACTCAAACTTGCATACACTGAGATTTTTATGAAAGAAGTAAAATGGTTCATTTATTCCAGCAGCACTTCAGCATTCTGAGCTTACCTTCCGTGATGAAACTCAAAATAACTTAAAACTATAATTTTTCTAGAATTCCAGATTTCTCCAGAGTTCTAGATGTTACAAACAAATCTACTTTTTCATTATAAAATAAAATTCACTGAGTAAAGTGATCTCTAAGTTCAACAATTACAAAAATATCCAGTATGAACTTTCTTTCTAGTCATCCTTGATGATAGCTACCAGTAATGTTCACAACTGGCTATATAGCATGTTCTATACTGACTATTTTGAAAATGTAGTATGCCAATTTTTAATCTAGAAATCCATTTTTCTAATTGCATACTTTGCCATAGATAGCAAATGGTTAACTAATACGAGAACTCCTTTTTTCCATTCTAAAGTTTCAATTCTGCTCTAATTTATACAGGCTCTTGCTGAATATCCCTAGGCATCTTAATTCTTCATATTACAGTATGTTTTGACATGTACTCTTTAGTCAGATTAGTTTTCCAAGCTGTTTTGTCTGCCATGGAAGAGAGAAGATGGGTCCTGCTAAAGACAATCTTTTGGGTTGTTTCCACATCCTTGCAATAGTAAATTGTGCTGCCATAAACATTTGGGTGCAGATGTCTTTATTATAGAATGTCTTTCACTCTTTTGGAATTAGGGGTTGCAGGGTGGAAAGATAAACTCACAACTAATGGACCCGGTGAGTACTGCAGAGGGGAAGGGCATGCCTCTAATCCTTGCTTGAGTGAGGCAAAGTCATGAAATGTAACCAAAATGTTTGTATACTCATAATATCCTGAAATAAAAATAAATAAAAAAGAAAAAGAATGGAACCTTTTATCCCATATAGTGAGGGGCACAGTAGCTAGTTCTCAATTTATATAAGCCTTGAATAAAGCAGTCACCAAACCCCAAATCTAAATAAAATTATGTTCCAGGGATATCATCTATCCCATCAAGTAGAGCCCTAGAAACAAAAGCTAAGATGGTGAGGCTATAAAAATGATTCCAAAGGAAAAGCTGAGAAGGTAAAATACAACATAGTTACCATCAGAAGAGGTACTTTTCATATTCAAATGTGTCACAGCAAGGTGGTCATTTTTTAGATCAAAGCAGATACTATCAAGAACTTTAGGAAGAGTTAGAGCCACTATGAATCCCTGATAAAATTCAGCAAGATATTGTTTCCACAATCAAGTACTAGACTTGCTGATTTTTTGAGACTATAAACTCATGGCAGACTTCTAAGGCAATAAGCATTCTTATCCTTGTTGCTACAGCCACAAAAGATTTGAGAGGAACAAAGGAGTGTGATGTCATGTGGGAATGGGAGATCTATATCAGTTAATTTCTGTGCAATATTATACAAGGATCCAGGGGATAATGTTCTCAAACTGAGCCAAAGCTTTATTATTGACTCAGTTTATCAAGAGAGCAGATAAATAACACTGACATTTGTCAGATTTTTCATTATTTGTGAGAAATACAGCACTTGAATGTCTCTAAAATTCATATGAATAAAAAGAAAATGTCTTTCCTATATTTTTAAATAAACCTTTTCTTCTAGAACAGTTTTTAGCTGTATTGAATTATTGCAAAGACAGTAGAGAGAGTTCTCATAAACCCCACATTAAGTTTCTCCTATTACATCTTACATAAGTCTTCATATTTTTTTAAGAAAAAAAAAAAAGAATGAGGGAGCATAATTAAAACATCTGACCTTTAGTTTGGAAGCTATAGATTTTTTACTTAAAAGAAGTCTCATATCTGTATTTAAGAAAAGCACATCCGTGTTTTAAGAGAAGAGTTTAATTAGAATCTAATGCTTTGAGCACAAGAGCTGAGACTAAAAGAAAAGAAATAGCAATTTATAAAAGAGAATTAATTCATGAGCGTTAGTGTGCCTCAAATCAAGCTGAAGAAAGAATATATTATTTCTTTCTGTTATGTCATAGGTAACATAAAGAAGGGGGTAAATCCATTATGCTTGGTCCTGAAATAAGAAAGGTCTATACATATAAGATAATCAATGGAAGACTCCAAATGAGAAAATGATAAGAGAAAATGAATGACTGGAATGATAGTAAATAAAACATTGGAAAAGCTCAGAACCACAGCCCAATTTTTTGCCAAAATAATATTTAAAACTCTCAAAAATTCAAAGGATCTTGTTCATAGAAGACCCAGAGAAAGGCAGAGGTGAGAGATAGAAAAGGTATTTGTGTTCCCAATACAAGATTAAGTTCACCAGAATAAATATCTACAAAAAACAAGTAGATATTTCTAAGGTAAATGGAGAGAATTTAAAAACAATTAAAAAAAACCCCAAAGCAACAACTCTGAGATGGACAGAGATTTATTCTGATAAAAAGGAACCCTACCAGAAACCCCTAATCTGAGCTGAATCTTTGTTATCCACTATTGCTACAGATAGCAACAAATATAAGGAGATTTATGGGCATCTATAAAAGGGAAACAGGGCCATAGCTTAATAATTTTCAAATTTCCTACCAAATAGCCTTTGTCAATTACCACCGATGCTGGTTTTATACTATCCAGTTGATGTCTGCAAAAGGCTTGAAGGTGTGTCTTACCCATGAGCACGAATATATAAAAAGGTATCATCACTAAAAGAAGATTTACATTTACTTTAATCATGCAAACACTTTAACAGGGTAGTTCTTTCTGATGATAAAATCTGTTTTTCAATTGCTTCTAGTGTGCCTAATGGACTCTCTCCTACACATATCTCTACCTCCCTCCCCTTTTATGGCATTCCCTCCATTCACATTCCCTGCCCTACTGCCCCATATGATACAATCCAGCAGAAGGAGGCATACTAGGAAATACTACTTATTTGGGAGTGGAAGATGAGTGAGTACAAATTGAAAATGGCCCCATGAGTCCCCTGAGAAAAAGTCTCATTCGCTTCTCCTTTCCATTTATTGCCTTTAATATCACTGATTGACCACATACAGGTAAACTTTTGTTCATTCAAAAAATAATTATTAAGTACCTAATATATGCAATGAACCTAGGGAGAACATACATAATATACTAAGAAATTACATGAACAAATAACTATTGTAGTTATCTGTGTATATAATACAGTAGTTATTTGTCTAGAAGAGTTATGAATAAAATTCCATTTAAGTTAAACCTTGAAATATATCACATAAACCTTGCATCTATGAAATGGTAAGTAAATATACTTTTTTATATTACACAATGGGAGTCCATATTGTAAAGAGAAAAGTTAAACTATAAACTCCACTAATCAATATGAGATTTTTGTATATGAGGTCTTCTTAAAAGACTCATAGATAGGCAGATATATTCTAGCTTCTTGCAATAATAATAATTATTCAAGTTTTAGAAATACAAGGCAAATGTGTTAAAATTACTTGAGACAATATGCTCTAATAAAAGAGATTTGCATGTAGAGATTTAAGATATGATTTTTGTCCCAACAAATGCTCTGCTATGAACTCGATTGTGTGATTTTGCTTCAATTTATTAATTTAAAATTAAGATAAAAATTACCTCTCTATAAAACCTCTCCTTGTTAACCTACTCTTCCTTCTCAGAGATAGTATTTGGCTAAGTGAGATGGTATATATTCAAAATTAATCTGAACATATTTTCCCATTTATCCTCATAATCTCAAGAGACATTATTCCACACTGGTTAAATGCATTTTTTTTTTACATTTAGTGTTGCAAGGTCCAATCATAGGCACTTATAAGCTAGCAATGTTATGTAACAGCTTTGTAGCTATAACATCAGCAAAGCTGTCACCATTAATACATATAAAGCAAGAAATAAGAATTTAAGATATAATAGGATTCTTCTGTATTTAGTTGATTTTTTCTTTTCTTCAATTATTTTTTCCACTATCTGAGACACTTCTTCTGACACTGTTAGTTTCCAAGAATGACCCTTTCTCAACAGAACTGAAAGCTTTTTATGCTCTCACTGTCCTATAAATCAACATTGGGAACTATACTTGAATCAATATGCCTCTAACCAAGGTGGTATATTAAGGGAAGCAGCAGTTCTTAGAAACAGATGATTACTAATTCAGTAAAGGCACCATCATAATGCTGAAATGTTTTAGTCTTTATTACTTCAGTTAAAATATGAAAATAGTTACTGTTAGATATATTTCAAATTAGGACTCCGGGTTAATTCCTACTTTGATAAAAAAGAAAAATTTTGAATCAACTAGTAAACCATAGGCATTATTATATTACTTAGACATTATTATATTTAGGCACTGTTACTAGGATTCAGGGGTTTCTATTGTTTATATTTAGTAAATAGTAGTAATTGTGAATTAATGATGGAATATCATAAAATAGTACTGATTTTGTAGCTTTTAAATTAAATCACAGATTTTGCTCTATTTAGAAATATTTTCCTTTCATACAAATAAAAGCCTCATTAGAGTACAAATTCTCCAGCTACAATGTAATCCCCTTCACTTACCTACCCAGAGTTACCATTGACCAAAAACATTGCAGAAAAAGTATAAATCAACAAATGAAAACATTTAGTCAATATAAACCAGACATAATATGTCCAGCCATCTCTTGCAAAGAGTAAATGCTCAGTAACTATTAGTTCAACTGAACTACCTCTGCAGAGAAAAAGGGGATGTCAAGTCCACAGTCATTAAAAATAAAAATCGTTGGCAAACCAGAATTTAGAATTCAGATCTCTCAATGCATTGTCCAGTACCCTTTTCTATTCCTCCATGATGGCTTCAATACAAGATGCAGCAAGAAGTGCAGGCTTAGCTTGGCATGGTGGCTCATAACTGTAATCCTACACTTTGGGAGACTAAGGTGGGAGGATCACTTGAGGCCAGGAGTTTGAGACCAGACTCTGCAAGAAGGAGACTCCATCTCTACAAAAAATAGAAAAATTAGCTGGGCGTGGTAGCTTGTACCTGCAGTCCCAGCTACTTGGGAGGCTGAGGCAGGAGGACTGCTTGAGCCCAGGAGTTTGAGGCTGCAGTGAGCTATGATGATACCACTATACTCTAGCCCCAGTGACAGAGAGCTACGATGAAACCACTGTACTCTAGTCCTGGTGTCAGAGAGAGACCCTCTCTTAAAAAAAAACAGACAAAAATAAACAGTATAGGCTCAAAATACATATCTGGCTACTTTTGCAAACTAAGGATTAGGAATTAGAACCCCAAAGGATCCTTTCAGCTCCTTTCTAAATAAGACCTTCCATCTGTTGGAAGGAGTTAAGTCACAGATAGTTCCTATTTCTAATGAAGAAAGCTCAGTAAAAATGGAAAAAAAATAAGGGTCAGGATAGGTGAGTTAAATTTTATTGTGCTATTTGTCTGCTCTAATCACAATACTAAACAATTTTTGTTTAAAAAGATTTGTAATACCTAGCTTTGTGTTAGTAACGAAGAAAGGATTCATTAATAGTATGGTGAAACGCTGTATAGGAAACAATCTAATTTTATTTCTTTAAAATTAAAACCAAAGCAAAAAGGTAATGAAGCAAATACAAGAAGTGAAGTACTGCACAGTAGTAATTAAAACAAAGTTAATATCCATGAAAGAGAAAGTTAAAAAGCATTCTCATTTTCAAAAGGCAAGACCAGAAATTATTGTCTCTTAACATATTAAACAAGGATATTTTCCTTTTTTTTTTTAGACAGAGTCTCACTCTGTTGCCCTGGCAAGAGTGCCTTGGTAGCCTAGCTCACAGCAACCTCAAACTCCTGGGTTCAAGTGATCTTCCTGCCTCAGCCTCCTGAGTAGCTGGGACTACAGGAATGCGCAACCACGCCTGGCTAATTTTTTTCTAATATTTTTAGTTGGCCAATTAATTTCTTTCTATTTTTAGTAGAGACGGAGTCTTGCTCTTGCTCAGGCTGGTTTCCAACTCCTGAACTCGAGTAATCCGCGCACCTTGGCCTCCTAGAGTGCTAGGATTACAGGCGTGAGCCACTGTGCCCAGCCAAGAACTGACATCTTTGCTGTATCTTCCAATCTATGAACATGGTATGTCCGTCCATTAATTTAGGTCTTCTTTGATTTATTTCATCAGCATTTTATAAGCATTTTAACCTCATACTGCATTTCCATTTGTTTGGAGCAATTGTAAATGGCATTGTGCTTTAAAATTTTGGTTTACAATTGTATATTGCTAGGATGTAAACATACAGTTAATTTGTTTTTCTTTTTTTTGTCATTCAAAAAAAATATTTACTTTAAATGTTTTATGTATAACATGGATAAAGATAAATGCTAATGACATCATTAAATTTATGGAATGTTTAACTAATACTGACTGAAAGGTTTCGTCTAAAGAATTCATTCTTACCTACATATGAGGTTAGGGAGAGAGGAGATTCCTGATTACCATGATAACTTTATGCAATCTCTAAAGGATTTGACATTACGAAGTACTTCCCTTAAAATATCAAAATTCTTAATGAATCGGCAACATTTACATTTTTAATTTTCTGAATATCAGAGTCTAATTTTTGTATAGTTAAACATCACTTATTTTGCTAAAAGGAAATTGTATTTCTAATTTTTTCTCCATTAAATTTTGTCTTAGTCTTTTCTGGATTCTTTTTTAAACAGCTAACCGAAAACTTAACAGAAATAAAAATCTGGACAATTTATGACTGTATTTCTAATATATCCTTTTATAGCAGTTTAAAAGCAAATCTTAATTCAAATCAATACCTTTAAAAAGAAATAAACTCAGCTGAATTTCAAGAGTTTGTATAGGGTAGAGAATGCAGGTCACATTTTATATTTTATAAACACAAAAATAAAGAAAAAGTGACATTAACTATTAGGAAGGATAAAAACACTACATAAACTTTAAAAGGCTGACTGCTACATCTTCATCAATGTAATTTCACGGTTCTCTACCATTTTATTTATAGAACAAATCTCTATAATCAAATTGTCATTCACTTTTATGCCCCCACATGGGAAGTGGTAGGTGAATATCTGTAGGAATATAATTTATTGTCTGCTCCTCCACTCAGAAGTAGCCCCGTGTTTGTCCAGTCTACACTCAGAACTTTGTCTTCATGAGCATCTAGATCATAGAGATGTGCCTTACAACTTCTTGTATCCCACAGCTTGACCATGTTATCTAAAGAACCTGAAATCAACTGCTGCTCATGGGTAGGAGACCACTTTACTGATGTTACCCAGCCTGTATGTGAGGTTAGGGACAGCAACACCAAAGAACCATCTTTAGTTCGGGGATCCCATAGTCTGATATGCCTATCTGTGCTTCCAGATGCTAAACGTTTACAAAGTGGAGAATAGGAAATACAATTAAATACTTTATTTCCTGTCAAAGTTGACTTAAGACTGCCAGATTCAACATCCCATACTCTAATTGTGTGGTCCCAAGATGCACTGCAGATTTCTTCAGGATCTGACCACAGAACTGAGGAAATTGCTTCCTTGTGGCCAGAGAGGGTCACCATGGGATTCCTTGTTAGTCCCAACTGCTCTGTTTTCTGTTTCTTTCGAGGTCGACTAGTGGATTCCTCCATTTCATCTTCTTCATCTGTAGGCACTGTAGACCAGATCTTTAGCATCTTATCCCAGGAGCCACTGCAAAATTTAGTTCCTGAGCTATCAACAGCTATAGAGTCCACACTTCCAGCATGACCTCTGCAGCAGTGTAGAGCTTTTACTTTGTTTCTCTCTACATTCCACTCCCATAAGAGAATAGTCTGATCCATAGAGGCACTCAGTAACAAGCAAGACAAACTGTCCTTTTTCACCCAGGCCACATTTTTTACAACGTCTGTATGTCCCACAATTGTCATTATTGACTTTCCTTCCAAGGACCAGATCCGAGAAGTCTTATCATAAGAACCAGTGAAGATCCATTTCTCTGCCCCTTTAATTGAACTGATCCAGTCATCATGGAACATGCATTGCTCTGACTGGGGTGCAGTATACTTTTCTACGTATTTTAGTTCCACAACTTCTTCTGATCAGATGTTCTCCAGTTCCATGTGTTTGACCAATGGCATGCGCAGAAACTGGCCCTTGATAAGGAAATCAAACTCCACATGTTTGTGGAACTCATTTTTGTCTTTCAGCAATTTATTGATGATGTTACTAAGATCAGCAATTTCAGAGGCAGCAGGGATTGAGAAGGGAACATCATCTACTGCATATTTCTTGTTATCAGTGTAGAAGCGTGTCTGGAGCTGAGCCATGGCTAAGAGTAGACACAGGACTGGTCCACAGAAACGTATGGGTTAGTGGTCAGAGAACCGGAGCTCTTGTCTCTTAGGACTACAAGGAGGCAGCTCAAAATTAGACTGCACAGGTAAGCGAGAAGCTACAGTCGAAACCTGGCCTCCGCTCTTTCCTTGGGTCAACAGTTAATTTTTGTGTTGATCATGTATCCTGTGGCTTTGCTAAATTCACTTATTACTCCTAGTAGACTTTTTGTTGCTGTTGTTTTGGTATCTTATTTGGGATTTTTCTACATAGACAATCATTAGTTTTCCTTCCTTCTAATATGTATGCCACTTATTTCTTTATTTTGCCTTATTGCATTATGTAGAAGAACTTCCATTATGACGTTGAATAGGAGTGGTAAGAAAGGACATCCTTGTCTCATTCCAAATTTTAGAGGGAAAGCATTAGTCTTTTACCATTAAATGTGATGTTACCTGTAGTTTGTATATAAATGTTTTTTATCAGATTAAAAAGTGTCCTTTCTTAATTTATTGTTTTGTTATGAATAGTCAAATGCCTTTTCTTCATCGATCATGATATGATCTTGTGCTAAATTATGTTAAATTGTTAATATGGGATATTACATTAATTAATTTTTAAATAGTTAGCCAGTTTTGCAATTCTGAAATAAATCTCACTTGGTCACAACATATATTTATTCATTATATATATCTATATTTATTTCTGAGGCCGATTTGCTAATATTTTCCTGAGGATTTTTGTAACAGTGTTCATGAAGGAAATTAGTGCGTAGTTTTAGTGTGTAGTTTGTCTTTGTCTAGTTTTGGTATGCAGTTAATGCAGGCCTTGTAAATGCATTGGAACATGTTTCCCTCTATTATTTGGAAGAGATTATGGTGAATTGGTGCTATTTTTTTTCTAGATGTTTGTTTTCTGCTGCTGCGTAACCAATCAGCACAAACTTAACAGCTTAAAACAACATACATTTATTATCTCAGCTTCTGTGGGCCAGGAATCTGGAAATACCTTATCAGGGCCCTCTGCTCAGGGTGTCACAAGGCTATAAAAAAGACTCTGTCTATGCGGCATTCTCATCTGGAGCTGGATAGAATCACTTCCAAACTCACTCATGAAAAAGCTCACTCTGAAAAAAAATTTCCCTCTGAAAAAAAAATTCCCTCTAGTCACTGCTTTAGCTGTATCCTATAGATTCTGATGTTTTCTGGTTTCATTTTTATAAAGTTCACTATATTGTTTATTGTGATACTTCTTCATTGATCCATGGAATATGGAAATGAACTTAATTTCCAAATGTTTGGAGATTTTCCTGTTATCCTTCTTCATTTCTAGTTTGATTGCTTTATGGTCAGAGAACACACTTTGTATGATTTTAATTCTTTATATTTTAGAAACAAGGTCTAACTCTGTCGACCATGCTAGAGTGCAGTGGTGCCATCATAGCTCACTGTAACCTAGAACTCTTGGGCCCAAACGATCCTCTAGCCTCAGCCTCCCAAATAGCTATAGGTGTGCACCACCATGCTCAGCTAATTTTTAATTTTTTTTTTTTTTGAGAGACAGGATCTCACTATGTTTCCCAACTGGTCTTGAACTCATGGCCTCAAGCAATCTTCCCTCACAAAGTGCAAAGTGATGGTATTATAGGTGTGAGACAATGCACCTGGCCTGATTTCAATTCTTTTATGTTTTGAAGGTTTGCTTTATTACCCAGGGTATGGTGTATTTTAGTGAATGTTCTATGTGCATTTGTTAATAATGTGTATTCTGCTGTTGTTTGGTGAAGTGTGCTGTGACTGTCAATTAGTTATTCCATTCCTTAATGGTATTGTTCAGTTCTTCTACATCAGGGGTCCTCAAACTTTTTATACAAGGGGCCAGTTCACTGTCCCTCAGACCGTTGGAGGGCCACTGGAGAGTGTGGCACACATTCCGCACATGTGCACTGTGGGCCCGGGACGAGTAGGCTGCAAAGTAGGACAGGCACCGGTGGCAAAAACACCGGGTGGGCTGGATAAATGTCCTCGGTGGGCTGCATGTGCCCGTAGGCCATAGTTTGAGGACGCCTGTTATATCTTTGCTTATTTTCTGTCTAGTGGTCTTATCAATTACTGAAATAAGGCTGTTAAAAGTCTCCAACTATCTTTGGCTATTCTCCTTCAGTTGTCAGTTTTTGCTTCATGTATTTTGAAACTCTGTTGCTAAGTGTACATGTTTAGAATTACATCTTCTTGGTGAATTGATCATTTTATTATTGTTATGTCCTCCTTGGTCTCTGCTTGTTTGCTTTGTACTGAAGTCTATTTTGTCTGAGATTAATACAGTCACACCAATTTTCTTTTGATTATTGTTTGCATGGTATATCTTTATAATATTTTGCTTTTAATCTACCTATATCATTATATGTTAAGTGAGTTTCTTGGAGAGAGCTGGGTCATTAAAAAATTCCACTCTGCCAATCTCTCTTTTATATTTTTTCCTCTCTTTTAACTGATATGTCTTGTCCTATAATCTTTTTATCTCTTTTAACTAGTATATTTAGATCATTTATATTTATACTTAATGTAATTACTGACATAAGTATGCCACTTTATTGTTTTCTACTTGTTCCCTGTTGTTTGTTTCTGTTTCCCCTTTCCTATGTGTAATTTAAACTTCTTTTAGTATTCAATTTTGATTTATCCATAATGTTTTTAATATCTCTTTGTAGAATATTTTTAGTAGTTGCTCATAATCTATATACATAACACTTGTTACAGTCTATTCATGTCAACATTTTACCATTTCAAGTGGAATGAAGAAAACTTAACTACATTTTAGGTCCCTTTACTCCCCCTGCTTTTCTAATAGAGTTCTCTTAAAAAGAGAACTTTTTCTTTATATGCATTGATAACCACATCAGGCACTGTTAGAAATTTTGCTTTTCACCAAACATATTAAAAACTCGAGAAGACTATAATCAAATCTCTGTATCTACTCTATCATTTGTACATTCTTTATTCTAATTTTCCAACTTTCCTTCTGTCATCATTTTCTTTCTATCTGAAGAACTTCCTTTTTCAGAGCAAGACTGCTAGTGATGAATTCTTATTTTCCTTCACCTACAAATGTCTTTAATTCACTTCATTATATTTTCCCTAGATGAAAACTTCTGGGTTGACAGTACTTTTCTTTCAGGATTTAAAAATGTTTGGCTACTTATTTTGGTCACCCTGTTTTCTGAGAGGAAATCCACAGTCATTCAAATTATTCCTCTATAGCTAATGCACTTCTTCTGACTGCTTTCAAGATGTTTTTCACTGCCTTTAGTTATCATAAAACTACTTATAAAGTATCTAGGAATGGATTTATTTGAATTTTTCCTGTTAGCAGTTTGCTTAGCTTTTTGAATATGTAGGTTTCTCAAATTTAGGAAGTTTCCAGTCATTTCTTCAAATATTTTCTTCAATCTCTCATTCCTACTTCTCTTCTGGGATTCTAATGATACAAACATAAAGATGTTTTTGTTATTGTTCCAGGTCTCTGAGACTCTGTTTACTTTTTTTTCCCCAATCTTTATTCTGTTATTCAGATAAAGTAATTTCTATTGATCTAAATTTGAGGGTACCAGTTCTCTTCTCTATCATCTCTATTCTGTTATTAAGCCTACTTTTTATTTAGTTTATTATACATTTCTATTTGATTCTTCCTTATATTGTCTATTTCTTTGCTGAGGCTTATTAGTTTTTCATTTGTTTCAAAAGTATAATTGCTTATTGGAGCATTTTTTTATTAGAGCTTGTTTAAAATCCTTGTCAGATAATTCCAACATCTGCATCATCTCAGTGTATCTGCTGATTATCTTTTGACATTTGAATTGAGATTTTCCTGATTCTTGGTATGATTGAGTATTATGTTATGAGACTCTGCTTTCTATTTAAATTTTCTATTTTAGTAGGCAATCAAACATTTCAGATTCACAATGCATATTCTAGCCAAATTTTATGAGCTGTGGTTCAATGACAATTTAATTATTAAAATCTTTTTAGTGTTGTTCTGTTCTGCCTCACTGGGCTACCTAGGAGCCAGACTGAAATTTGGGTGGTATATTATACCAGAGCCCAGTTCTCAAACCTTTTTCTGTATTGATTCTGGTAAGTTTCATGCACGGGATGCCAGAAGGTCTGCTGAGGATTTAAAACACAGATTTTAAAAAATCTCCTTCTCTAACTCCCTTCTTTGTATAATCCTCCCTCCACTCTATATTTGAGAGGGAAAGGGGAACTGCCCCATTATTTCAGGATAGTAATGGTGGTCAGGGTAAAGGGGCAGCCTCTAAAAAATAATAGGACAATATCTAATCCCACAATTTCCCCAGTAAACATCAATCCTGTGAGTTCTCTCACCAACAGGCACTCTGCAGGAGTTCTGTTTTGCACAGCTTCGGGAAAGAGATGTAAATCTCTCTCTTTCAAAAAAAATTTTTTTTTTTGAGAATTTGCTTTTTACAGCTTAAAGAGTTCCTGAGCAAACAGCAGGGTGCAAGCTCCAAGCCTCAATCATATCTCTAAGACAGAGTTACTTCTCCTGTGATAATCCCTTCTCCAAGGAAAGATAGGAGAGTCAACTCTTGGACTTTGACATCCTTGCGATTTTTGTTATCTACTTGCTGCCAAGAAGAAAGAAAGAAGCAGATGACTATACCCTCCCATTTTTACAACCCTCTTTAGAAAGCTCCAATAGCTAGTTTCGGGGGTCAACACATTATCCCTCTTTCCACCTCCATGCTGGTCCTTTTCCCTTCCCCCCAAGGAAAAGTAAATAAACCTTTTCTTTCTATCCTAATCTTTGTCTGGAGAAATCTTTCTCAAAACCTGCGTGAACCGGCATCTACACCCTAACACAGGGCTCTGTCCATAGTTTCTGTGGTTGTAAATCCATTGGGGAGAGCCTCCACTTTATTACTGTAGTTCCATCCAGTCTCCATGGCTGCAGTGCCCAGTGGGAAGAAAAGAGGTACCCTCAGTATTGCAGGGTATGTATAATGAACCAGGCTACATGCCCAATCTCCACAGATACAGTACCTGGGGATGACAGGGAGACAACTTTTTTCATGATATTTGCCCACAATTGGGCAGATATAATCAAAATGGGGTTTTTTTATTGGTATTTCTAGTGCAGGCCTCTTCAGCACCCTCAAGTAGGATATATAGGAGGCAAAACAAACAAGTAAACACACAAAACAGGAAATTCACTGTGTACAGGGTTTTTTGCTATAATAAACAGGAAGAGTAGTGTATGATGTGTTTACTACTTCTTATCCAGAAACAGAAGCCTAAAAGTGTATTTTTAGCCCAACATATTCTCAAATATTTACTGTACATTTAACCACTTCAGTACAAGCGTCAACTATAGTCGAGAGCCACAGATGAACACACACAGTGACTTTAGCCAACAGCCGTGATACGAAGGCGCACAGCTGAGCATCGACTTTAGCCGACAGCCGTGATGACTTTTCTAATTTTTCATTTATCAAAATAAAATTGTGAACATTTAAAAATAACATAATGAAAACATATATGTATATGTTACCTATTCTGATTTACATTACAAGTAAAGCTGTCTGTAAAGTAAAACAAGCTTTCAGTGCTTTAAAGCTTT